CTATAAAGTTTTACTGAAAAAAAAATCCTTGAAATGCATTTAGTAGGTTTTGGGGATTACACAAAGGAAATTTAAGATTTTTGAGATGAGGAAAATATCTTAAATTTTAACATGAAAATTACTTTGCACACGAACTATTCAAAACAAATACTAAACATATTCATGGACAAATCTTTATTTTATTTTATTAAAAATACTTCACTAAGAAATACGAGTTTTATATGTGAAAAACTTGTAATATTAACTGAAAGACTGACAAATTTCATAAACATATACATATACCCACTATACTGAGAGTTATAAGTATTAAATCTATGAAGACTTTAAACGAGTACAAAAAGATAATGTGTTCGTTAAAAATTGACCGAGCCCATATTGAAAGTGTTAATGGCCATACATTGCAGATTTATGGTACTTGGACAGGCACCACTTACCACAGAGTGGAATCCAACATGCAAAATGAGCAACTGTAACAAAAATAAAAATAGAAAATACTTACCCACTTACAGTTGAACTGAGGTGTATAGAATAGCAATGGAGAGTAATCAGTATCTAGAGAAGGAGGAGACAGCCACATGAAGCAGATAATGAGTGATGAAGATGTGTGGTGTGATCTACATGCAAGCCTGGATGATCACAGCTAACAGAAGACAGAATGTGCAGTCAGGAAGAAGATGAGATGACAGATATGGTGGGAGGATACCTGGAAAATACAATGGGATCGAGAAACACAGAAGAATAAGCCAACCAAATAAGTTGACGAATCCAACCCATAAGGTTCACAGGGGAAATGTCAAAAGTAGAAGGGTTCCAATGGAGAAACAGGTGGGAACAGAAACCACAGAAGGAAGCCATGCAGGCAACATAACAAGTAGAGCACAAACAGGACAGAGAAGATGATCCACACTGGAGGAGCCAAATATATATGGAAAATGGAAAGGAAGAAATAGGTGTGAATGTCATGTCCCTTTCTTGGGCTGTTGACGTCTTGAAAAACCAACAACAACTACAGGCAAAAAGGAGCAAAAAATAGAATATCTAGGACATGTGGTATAAGGAACAGATAGCCAAAGATTCAAAAATGAGATAGGGTAAGGGCATGGAAAAACCACACTGAAGTCCCTTCGGGAAGGGGTGTAGAATGAGGTGGATGAAGGAGATGAAAGGAGCAAAACAAGAAGGAGAGGACAGAAGAGGAGAAAACTCTACCGGAAAGAGAAAAACAGAAAGTTGTGGATAAAGCTACCCAATAATGAGCAATAATAGAAACAAAGGAACCAAAGTCGAACAGATGGTTAAAAAAAAATTCCTGAATCGTTAGGAACACTAGGACAAGAAGGGAGGTAACCATGGCACAGGGACCAACAGCAGAAAACCCAGTGTTTCCTCTGATAAACCATTAAGAATGAAGGACAGACCAAATAGAAAAGAAGGGATACTACTAAGTTGCCTTGCAAGGGACCAGACAAATACCACACGTGATGCCACAGTGTGGTTATGAAAGGATGACACACAGACAACTGAGGTTGCCAGAGAAGGGAGCAAGAAAGTGGTAACAAAGAGGATGATTGAAGGAAGTTAGGGACTGGAAACCATGGTTGAGCAGGCCAAAAAGGGGCAGTGAGAAGGACTAGATATAGAGTGGTGTAGATAAAACTTCAGAAGAAAGCAGATAGGAGGATAAGCATTAATGTAAAGGTTGGATCAATCCTCACTTATGCTGTCTACCACGAAAGCCAAAAGATGTGGAACCAGGGACCAGAATAGGGAGAGTTTGGAATTGAGGTGGGTGGTAAATGCATCCAGAAGCAGATTACCCCACTGGGTCCACAACC